GCGCCTGTCAGCGCTGAAAACTTGAACGGGACTGGTGTGTGCACCAGAAAAATCTGAGTACTTAATGTGTCAACAACATCGAAGCTCGTGGAAAGAAGTATTACTGTACGCGGACGGAGGGTTGATACCGAAAGTGCCTACGCTTCGGGTGTTGGGTTTGGTGTTACAAGAAAAGGCGGGCAACTCCGCCATGCTAGACAGGCTGAGGGCAAAGGTCCTGGCAGCCATGCGATTAATACAGAGGGTCTCCAGTAGGAGACGAGGCATCAGAGAAGAGGGAGTGTTGAGGCTAGTCCAGGCTTTTGCCCTCAGCCATATCATGTATGTAGGGCCATATCTCAAATGGTGGAAGGCCGAGCTAAACAAGCTGGATGCGATGGTGCGGAAAGCTTGCAGAGCCGGTTTGGGGGTGCTCTCTTTCACGCATAACGCCGACCTGGACGCCCTTGGGGTGCATAACTCGGTGACCGAGATGATTGAGGCACACCGAGAAGCTCAGGAGTTAAGGCTTGCCGGTACTGCGGCTGGACGAGAAATTCTCGCCCGAGTCGGCGTAAGTCGTGGAAACACCGGACTAGCTGAGTTACCCAATGAGACCATGAGATGTGTGAAAGTGCGCCCGATCCCGAGACACATGCACCCCACGAGGGACGCTGGGCGTCGTGCGGCCAGAGCGCAAGCTCTGGAGCGACTGTTCTTGAAATCTGGAGGAGCGGTCTGTGTTGATGCAGCTGTACGTGATGGAGTTGGGGTGGCGGTTGTCACGGATCTGGCCACCGGGGAAATCAAGACGGCCCTGAGTGTTAGGGGCGGAGATGTTTGTGTAACAGAAGGAATTGCCATAAGCCTAGCGGTTTCCCTGCCAGGAGTTAAAGCAGTGCTAAGCGATTCGATGACTGCGGTGAGGGGGTACGCGCGCGGTCGTGTTCCGCCTCTAGTCGCCAAGCTGTGCAAACCTCGTAACGAGGTGGAAGTGGTGTGGACCCCTGCGCACATGGGCGGCAATGTCGCTCCTGACCGAATGGCCCGAGAGTTATTAGGCCGGGCTTTCGGTGGGGCGGCGGTGTTCGCTCCGGTGGGCTACGGGGAAGTATTACGAGCGAAACGAGAAGCGCGGCGGGTGTATCCCCCTCCGCACGAGAACCTAAGCAGAGAGGAAGCCGTCCTTCTAAGGCAGCTTCAAGTGAAATGCATCTTCACGCCGGTGTTGGGCCGGTATGTGGCTCCGGACGTGTACAGATCGGATGCGTGTGTTATATGTGGGGAAAAGGCTACGGTCATGCACGTGTTGTGGGACTGCAGTCCGGTAGGCGCGCCTGGAACGTTGCCTGAGATGTTGGACGCCGGAGTCAAGGATACGACACTGGAAGGACAGCGAAGGGCCGTTCAGAAGGCTCGGGAACTGAGGGACAGGCAGGTCCGCAACCGGGCCCCCTGCACCCTTACCCCGGGTGGGGCTTTCGGCCTCCCCTAGCCAGATGGGCTAGCTTTTGAAGACAAATAAAGACGTTTATTCCTCCTCCTCCTCCAGCGCTGAAAACTTCCCCACCACCACCAATGACGAAGCAGGGTAAGCTCGGCGGTACGGACGCTCACGCAAAAATTAGGGAGGCGCTGTTAATTCAGATAAAAAGGGTAAAGCTGCATTGTCAGTTTTGAAAACGGAGCAGGCTTCATTTACAGGAATACGGGCGTGGTGGCTCACTGTTCTACTGTCGTCGTAGTTGCGGCCCACGGCCCACCAACTTTAAAAGCTTCCTCACAGCACACAACGCCTTCTGCGTTTTTACGTACCACTGCATTACCAACGAGTGCCGGCCAGACGAAACATAAGGATAACTATACTGACACAAACAATAAAAAAAAATAAAAAATCTCGGCGCTAAAAACTTAGAGCAACCTTTTACGCACAAACACTTGATGGAGAGGGCCGACCACGTCTGGTAACGTGCAGTCAGCAGCGGTTGACATTGCACGCCTTTGACTCATGGCGAATAAACCACGATTCTACGAGCTCCCGTGGCAAGGCCGACGACTAGTTGAAATCCAAAGCATGACTCGTCGTCAAGGAATGATCGACCAGGGGCCCTAATCTGGGCACTTGGCGAAAAGGTGGGCGAGAAATCCAGCGGCCGTGATTGGCCAAAGCCGCACTTGATCTTGGCGCCGGCCAATCATAGCCCCGAAATTTCACGCCGTGTGAAAATTTTCGTCATTCTTGTCCAGCTCGCTTGCACCTTTGCATTTAATTGCATTATAATCATTTCACGCCGACTTTTTTGCAGTGTCCAGATTAGGACCCCAAACCGGACTTCGCCCATGTAGCATGTGTTGAATTGGCAACATGTCTGCTGTGTTCCTTGAGAAGGGTTCTCCCCCTACCCGTCTCACCGATGTCAGTAATGTACAGTAAAAAAATTTACAAAAAAAAGGAAAAAAAAGAGACAAGCCTGTTGCGTATTTTGCTGAAATAAGCAAACTACACAACGAGAGGGACAGGAGAGAGCGCCTTCTACGCAGAGCGGAATTCTTGCAAAAAGCCCTGCAGAACAAATCGGCGTAGCCAGAGTTGGAGATAGTCTACGCTCCCCATTTGTTCCGTGCCCCGTGCAAAACCGACTGCGTGAGTAGGGGAGCAAGCAGGCTCCTCGAGGGGGGGGGAGTTTTGGCAGTTTGAGAAAGGGGGGGGGGGGGGGGGGTTAGACCCCCCAAAGTAATGCTTGCGACCACAACTGACAAGAATACAGCATTAAATTAAGCATACTCGTATGTTTATACGACTGTTCCTGTATCTAAATCTTGATTCTCATTACGATGTTGCACTGTAAAATGGTTTATTTTGAATAATTATTTGCTAGACGATATCGAATTTGAATTTTTAACTTGGTAGTGCTTCCTTCCGGGGAGGGGGGGGGGGGGGGGGGGGGTCGTCTCCTTTCTTTTTCCGGAATATTGAGAACTTTCTTCCTATGCAGTAATACGCCCGCTGGCCCCCACTGCGCCTCCAAAAAGTGCGATCCTGGTTGCCGAGCCAGCCGGGGATCCAATGTATGAATGCTTCTTAGGCACCCTAAAAATATTTTATTTCCTGTCCAATTAACGCATTCAGTTTCTGCAGTTTACCAGGGGCAGTTAACTTCGCCAGTGCAGGTCATAATGTTCTAAAGGGCAGCCAAGCAAAATAAAAGCACTCAGAACAGAAACAAGTTGTGGAAGTCCGCACATTCCGCAGCCTTTTGCCGTCAGCATGCGTTGGCTACCAAGGACAGTCTCGTTTTCGTGTCCTGGTACATCAACCTTGATTTGAATACCAAGCCTAGCACTGGCACTCGTGCGTGGAAGGCGAGATGGTGGCCGTTCGTGGCCTACGGCGTCGTTTCTAGGAAACTCGCGAACCTTTAGAATACGCACTGGAATGGCTTTTTTCACGCCGATTGTGAAATTGACTGGAGTCGGAGAAATGCTCGCAACATCGTCATTGGTTGCGTTGTCCCCTGGTACGCTCGGTGACTCGGAGTGCCCGCTTCCCGTACCAAGCGGAAGGCTGTTAACGCAACGCCCGTCAGTTTCGAGTGTTCCGGACTTGCACTGGCACGTGAAAGTAGTCCCACAAAAAGCACCGATTTCTTGGCAGTCTTCGTGCGAAATACAAGGAGCGTTCACCGTTTTCTGCGGTACACACGCAGCGACGCCCAGAGCTGACTTGTCGAGTCTGTACATTTCGACGCAACTGCATTCTCCGTGGCTGCCACACTGGGACCGGTTTGCCGCGTGAAGGCACTGTTCGTGGTAGTTGCACGGCCAGCCGAGATGGGCCGCAGTTCTACACGTCACGTGGGAAGAATTGAGTTTCACTGGGTGGGCATCGTCGCAAACGCACTTCGAAGCTGGGCTGCACACAGCGTTCCTCGATCGACAGTCCGAGTCCTGGCTACAAGAGTTTGCGTAGGGAGAGTCGAGCTTGACCTTTTCCTTCAGCAAGACGCCATCCACGCTCGCGACGCACTCGAACACGTATTTTCCCTCGACGGCCGGCAGGGTTTCTAATCTCTCTACCCGAATTCTGTTGGATTTCAATAAGAAATCTTTCCTGCCCGAAATGACGGATCTGAGAACCACATCCTCGATGGGCTGGTCATTCAAAGTCCACACAATGCTGGCGGAGACACTGTACCCAACGCTGCAGAATAGCTCCACTGCGCGACCGTTTTCAATGATAGCCGGTTTGGGATGGATGCTTAGCTTGCCAAGTTCAACCGAAATCACTGCCATGTTTGAACCTCCAACCTCGGGGGCCGAAGATAGCGTTGTCATTTTCTCGAAACTTGTCGTGGCTGAATCTTTTCGTTCTACTGTAGATGGGTGTGTCTTTGTTGCCGGGGGTGCCGTAGTTGGCGGAGACGTTTCCTTCAAAGTGGTTTCAAGAGGCGAATCTTGTGCTAGCAGGACTATATCAGCTTGTAAGCCATCTGCTTCGTTGGCTATGGCAGCTAGCGAAGCGTTAAGGTCAGCGCCTTCGGGGATGTCGTACTGGCCATAAAAGGTACCATTGGCAAAGGTAACATTAATGACGGTACCCATCGCAGGTACCAACTCGTATTGAGCGGGAACGGTAGCTTTGAGTTCGTCAGGAGCGTTAACTGAAGCCTTGACGACAGTAGCATGGTGTGGTGTTGAGGGAGCACCGGGGACCGCTGACGACAACAGCACTACCTCTGCAGACGACGTACCGAGAGGAAATTGTTGGAGGGTCAGCCATCCGATGAGCACTACGCGGAACATGTCGCGGTCAAGGAACATACTTGATTAAGCAAGTTAGACAAGCAATCTGGCTCGTGTTCCGAACATGGCCCTTCACTCGGTGATGGCCATTGCCGACTCCGAGGCGCGTGAAACCCGTGAAACGAAACGATGTTTTTTTCACTTTGGCTACCTCAGCGGAGGCGAACCTTCAAGTGGCGTCATTCCTCTATTTTATTGGTCATGTCTGAACTTTGACAGGGAGGATCATGTAAAAAAAGAAATATGCTAGGACGCCGCAATCTGCACAAACTATGGAATTTTGAAAGTAAGATTTGTGTCTAGAAAATTTAGAAGTCGCGCTAGACTCCAGGTTCAAAACATCGGCTTTTTATTTGTTATTTTTTTAATCTTTCATTTTTTATAATTCTTTTTTTTTTTTTTTTTTTAGCCACGTTATTTGCACAATCTGCACTAAATACCTACATTACTTTTTCTTTTTTTTTTTTTTTTCTTAACGCATCAGTGAGCGTGTCTCGCGCCTTCGAGAATCACTTATTGCGGTAGTTTTTTTTATTAAACACTGTCATTGTTATCATCGTCACAGAGATCAGCGCCGGTGCTTTCAACCAAAACATCCAGGCACCGAATTTCACGGCTCGTTTGACGAAAAATTCTGTTACTCAGAAATATATTTAAATTTCGCGCGCTTGAGACGCAACTCACTTCGCTGACTTTGACCACTTAGTTTCATTATCTAAATTAGTATTATAGAAAAATATAATTACGGGTCAAGCCGCTCGGCTTAATTTCGATCATTGAAACCGTTAAAGCAGGTTTCCGCCGCTTCACAGTTGAAGCAGTAGAAATACCTCCAAGTTAAAGTCCCTCGATGTTTCCATTCGAAACGTCAAGCGGTAAAAGAGGGCTCCGAAATAGCGTATTAATTGAGCAGTACGACTGACAGCTTTGCGGGCGCTGCGCGTGCGCTGCGCGGGCGAGTAGGAAGGCGACAATGCTTACTTTTAGCCCCTTCCCCTGGCAAATGCCGAGCGCTCCGCGCTAGCGGTCGCCGAGCGGTCGGCCTCCGTGAGCGATCGGTCACGTGATCCATCCCAGTGGCACGCGCGGCGGAGAAAATCGAGCGTACGCTCCCAACGCCACCGCTTTCAGGGCGTCTGCTCTCGTTTTTGAATAGTTGCGGTGATCGGAACTTTGTGCTTTGACAAAAAATTTATTGTTTACTACTTGATTAACGGTGACCCCGACGTTAAGACGCAATTTATTTTCCCTTACAGTTATGTAAGCTCGATGCAGACTTCTAGAAATACTTGTACGAGCCGCCGTAGGATGCTATTAAACAAACAGGTAAGCCGTAAAGCGGTCTTCATCTCCGAAGGCGACTTCCATCCGCGAAGTATTTGGCGTGTTGTCTTCTAATTAGTCCAATTACATTACAGAGACCACAAAACGAACAAACGACATACCTAGCTTTTCATCCGCATAGGCGCGCACAACGCCTTCGATGTAACGTGGTATCTTGGGCCTCTTCGCTAGTCAGCCAAACGACTCGGCAAGCACTTCGCCGAGAACGGCTGCCTCGTCGTCACTCGAGCTGGAGCTACGCTGGTATCTTCGTCTCTGTCACTGCGTTTCATTAGACCTCCTGAAATTAACTCCAACGATGTCATCGCCGCAGTATGCTCGGGCGAGTCGGTCATGACGAAGGGAATGAAAACAAGCACACCAAGAAAGCCCAACCAGCAATTCAAACAAAAAAGCCGCGAAACTCCTTCACTCCCCTGCGGGAATGTCGATAACGAAACTGAAACGTTGCGAGAGAGGACTACAGATCGTACTCCTCCAAAAAAAGGCTGCGCGCAGAACAACTCCGGGCCGCTCGACGCGCTCCACCACTTTTCCACGGAGCGGTTGGAGCCGCTCGGCGAGCGCCCCACTGGCTCCAGATCTGCATTCTCGCATCTCGCGAGATAAACAAGAATCCGCTCGGCGAGCGCGCGCCGAGCGCTCGCTATTTGCCAGGGGAAGGGGCTATTAAGACAAACCACAACAAAATGTTATGAATAGCGAGTTTATTTCACGGCACTCGTGCCTATCCGTGCCGCCTCGCAGCGTGGAGCGAGTTCGTTTCTCGGTCGGCACCCCACGAGCGGTTGCACCCACGTTGCACCCTCCGAGTTCATTTCAGCGCGGACGCTCCACCGAGAAAATCGAGCGTGCGCCAAAATGCAATCCCGTCATGCCTCGCTCAGGCGAGGAGCGGGAGCAGACGACGAGGGTTCGTCTGCTACGATTCGTACAGCGGAACCAAAAATACCGTAAAAAAAAAAAAAAAAAAAAAAAAAAAAAAAAAATGTAGATTTTTTGATAGAAATCGAGTTCCGCGGGTAACATAATCAAACGAGAGCTTGAATGCGAACTCCTGCTATTTCATCAAGGAAGCAATTGACAACCCATGCTTTATTTGCAAGTTTTTAGTCAATCTGTTAACTCTGAGATTGCTAAACACGTACAGGAGTGCAATAATTGTCTGCCGGAGTGGGGGTCTACTGTTGTTTTGAGCAAAGAAAAAGATTGCGCAAAAGAGTTTTGAAAGAGACAATTAGAATCACGACTGTAGGAAACTGTATCAGTCAGCCGTCAATCGCATTAGACGAAGCGACCCGAAAATTTTTGCTGTTGTAATTTTTTTTGTATGTTTTAATGCGGCGTGCTTGTGCGTGATACGAGATGCGAGTTAGGCCTTGCAGCTTGTGTGAAGGTGTGTGCGTTGGGTCCGACCGTACAAACGCAGAAATATATCAGTGTGTAAAGAAATGCTCTGAACAAACAAACACATCAGCAGCCCCAGTGATCTTTATCGCCATCCGTGCGCGGGTGAAGAATTGAGCATTTGTCGACAAAGCTCCCCCAGCAGTAACAGCTCTGACTGCCCAGTAAGCATCCGAGAAAGCTAAACATAACGGCTTTACCCGAGGCTTTGGCAATATCATGTTTAATATTTATATCTATGTCAGCTATCTTGCCCCGTCATATTTTGTTTGAAAAAGCTCTCGTTCTCGACGCCGTCACCAAGGCTAAAATCTGATCCACCTGTAACGACGATCGAAATTAAAAGTCCCGCGAAAGGTTTTGCTGAATATTCCAACAGACTAGTTTTAAACCGTACCCTTTCAGCGGTTCACGCATAATATCGTGCTTAAACGGATCAAGCTTCTGCGCGGACCGCATCATCAGTTTTCTCCAGTGTAAACAGTTATCAGAATTGAAATATCGCAACCAGCTGCTTTGTAGTCAGCTAGTTGCGGAAAGTTACGTCGTCTGTAAATATCTCTACTATAACCGAGTTGCTTGAAGTCATCGCAAATAAAAACTACAGGTCGCAGCTAGCAACGTTTATAGATAAAGGTTGGTAGCGACTGCACGACTGCACTCTCGCATTCCCACCCATTACGTCGAACAGAAAGGCGCTAGTTTCGGTTTGAGGTCAGTACTCTTTCTGCCACATAGATGGCGGCAGCATCACTCTGTCTGCACTAACCTTCCTTGTCTGCACTCGGTGCATTTGGCAAGTTCGTTCAAGGCCAGTTGTCCGTACGACACTCGGCGAGTACAATTAATTCTGGGAGAAAACTCGAACGGTGCCAGTGCGTGTGAAACGAACTTGCTAAAAAAACAGAAATTGCATTGATATTAAAGAAGTGTTATATACCTAAGTTTTGTACAGCTCCACGTGCTTGGGGGTATAGCTCAGTGGTAGAGCATTCGACTGCAGATCGAGAGGTCCCCGGTTCAAATCCGGGTGCCCCCTCTCACACCATATATTTTTTGTTGTTATGACGTTTTTAGTTTTTTGTTTTATTAATAATGAATTGATGTCACTTCGGGCATTCGGTTCCGTTTTGGCTTTCTGTCGTCCACTCAATGACGTGAACTCGACGAAGGTCGTGTAGTTCCAGTTGAACCGTCAATTTGAAGGCCTGCGATGCAAAACACGCAGGTTAACTGTGTCGTAGATCTGAAATCATGCAAGGCGTAAGTGCGTAAACCGGTTCACCGTTCTCTCACTCATAGAGTTAGTATAACGTACGCTAGAGGGTCGACTGGCGCTAGTTTATGTGCGAGTTTCGAAATGCAAATTGAAGCAATCTACTATTGCGGTGCTACATCGGAAAACGCGCGTGCATTTTGTCTCTTCGCCAAAAAATAAGATAGAAAACTTTCGTACTTCGGATCGTTCCGAATAGTATGTGCCTTTATTAACATTGTAAAAGTGTAATTGCTTAAGTTACAGCATTTCTTTCTTACCTCTGAACGGTGTTTAACCGCCATATTTCAGGCCCAAACCTCTGTTCTCTAGCAGGTACGTAAAAACGATCGAATTGACTGTAGTGTGTGCTTAAAGTTCGCCAGCATTCCGGTGGTGCTTATATTGAATATGCCCACGTCCTGTCACTATATGGAAATGAACCCGTCGTGCATTTTTACGAGCGGTTAAAAAACAGTCGAAAAAAAAAAATGATGTGTGTGGGCTGTGAAAGGAGTGTCTTTTTATTATTTCCTACGTCGGGCAGCTTTTATCAGGCATGTTTTGTGGCTTCTCTTTTTTTTTTTAAGATTTCGAGCGCGCGGATGATGTTTTGAACGCAGAAGATGCATCTTAGCAGATATACACCAGCAGAGAAAACAAGGCAATACTTATTTATTGCCAGCCCGACTACATTACGTGGCCTTCAATTTATTTTGATCGTCTCCATGCACAAGGAGTTAGTGATTCAGTGTTACTGCGTAGTTCTTGCCGTCTCTCTTGGTTTTCCGGATGTCCTTCGTTCGTTTGGCATGTATACATTCCCCATGCTGTAAGGCGCTGACGCCGTTTTCGCGCAAACAGTGCCCGACAGTGCACATAAATACATGTATGTACTACGAAGCCATGTTAGCACCATGTTTGATGCCATGAATTTGAAATAAAAAAACCGTAACTGAATAATTATTTCGTCTGCGTGACTGAGAACTGCTCCAATCTACCAATTACGTACTAATTATTCGTGATATTTGTTCTTTAATTAAGCGCGAGGAGAAATTGCACTCGCATTTTAGCATAGAAACGTATTACCGGAAGTCAATCTCCGACTGGTTGTTGTGCGCTTCTGTTTGCCACAGCACACTAGCTAGAGTCTAGAGCCAGTTGAACATCTAGCGTACATTATAATACTAGTTATATGCTCTCACTATATCAAATTTCTATCTACAGTGTGTAATAAATTTCTCCATGGCACGTGACGCGTCACGGGCAGGTGGCCTTCGGTTCAATAGAGGAAAAGTAGTCTAACAGGAAAAGGAAATCCGAGCCCACCGATGGTTTCACCATCAACGAGCTCGTCGAAACGAAAACTGCACTACTTACGTTATTTTCTACAGAGTTTGTATATAAAATAGAATACTGACTACAAAGTTTTTGTAAAAATAACATTCTACCAGGAAAGTTTCTAAAAAATTACAATTCTAATTATAGAGTTTTTATAGACAACAAAATTCTAACTACAGAATTTATACAGAAAACTAAATTCTAACTGGAGTTTGTAAAGAAAATAGATTTCCAACTAGAGTTGCTAAAGAAAATATGATTCTAGTTATAGAGCATTTATACTTACTCAAAGTCTACAAATATTTGCATATTTCCTTTTAAATAACGCCTATTGAATTTATAGCATTGAACGGTCAGCATATACCCCAAATTCAACAAAGAGTGAAAAACTTATTGATATTTTTTTTTGCGACTACAATTTTGTATAGAGCAAAAAAAGAAAAAAAAAACCCTATTGCGTGTTTTTCTTTCTTTTAGTGGAACAATTTATTTTTGCGTATGACGGGAAGAGGGAAGTAAACTTAAACTTTTGTCAAACGAAAATTATTGCAAGTATTTTGAGTTGCTGTGGTTGGTTACGAGTGATGTGCGATCGATGAAAGGTGAGGCAACTTGATCGGTCGATGAAGAGCGAATCAGTAAAAGTAATAAAAAAAGTTTCTAGAGTTCTTTTTTTTTTTTTGTCTATATTTACGTGAGGTAAAGTTAGATAGATAGAACGTGCACCTGTGCTGGCGAATCTAATCTACGGTACAAAAAAAAAATAATAATAAAACGTAAGGTCAATTGTACAAATTCAAAATTTAAAAAAAAATGTCTAGATACTTTTTTTTTTTTTGAGCGGGTGCATAAGGAAGGGAACGTAAAGGCGCAATTGAGCTGGTGTGTACTGAACGTTTTTAACGTTCTCCTTCTCATGGTGTCAACTTTCGTATTCCTCAGTCTCTGGTTACTTAACCAAGACGTTAATAGTTTGCGTATTCCCTTCCATGTGTGTAAAATGCAATTGAAATATATTAAAACTAACTCCTGTATACTTCTTTTTTTTACCCACAAATTATTGAAAACATTTGCGTAGAAGTCGGCCAACACTGTTTAAACCTGGTTTTGAGGTGCATGAGGCCCAAACATGTCCTCCCTGAGGGAGGACATGTTTAAGCCTCATGCACAGGCGTAAAGGGATCCCTGGGTTTCGGTGGAGAAGATAGAAGGGTGGATTAAAAAAGGGTTGAGGTAACGAAAAGGAGGTTAGAGCATTGGTGGAAGGAGACTAGGGAAAACTGAAATTGGTAAAAACAACTACCGCAACGGGAGACGGAGAGGACAGAGGAAAATTGGGACTCCCTCCCCGCGTAGCTCCGGCCCAAAGTCTCTACACTGCCTCCCAGTGGGTCTGGGGTCTGGGTCTTGGGAAGAACCCTAACGAGGTTGACCAGAGGAAAATTGCCGACTCCCTGCCGGGGGGAGAAGGCGGGGGTGCGTTTTTTTTTTTCTTTTATTTTGTATTTGCTTGGTCCCCCAAAGGTCAGGCTGTGGCTCATTTCCCCGGCCCGGTGATAATTGCAGGAATGTAGAGGGGAAAAAAAAATTGGGTATTTAAGTGGGGGAGGAAAGGATTTTCTCAGGCTAGGTGGCGCAAGCTACCGCCCGTTACAAAGGGCGTAGCCAATATCATCCATCCATCCATCCATGGTCGAATTTCCTTCTAAAAATCGAAAGTTCGCCGAACCAGTCGAACCTTGGGGTTGGACAAAAGTTCCGTTGTCCTTAATGCATCCATGCTAACGCGGAAGGCGAACCACTGGATGATCTTCACCAACCTCATCACTCATCTTGCCGATGGCTTCCTTGCGATTCTTGCCGTCGACGTAGAGGCGCGTGGGCACAAAGGCGGACATCACCACTATCTTTTCTAGGGTAACGAGCAGAGGCTCGACGTTCGTGTAAGTCTTCGATATCGTCAATCGGCACTGCAAAAACCAATTCGGGCAAACGTTGGCAAATGTACGTACCCACTATGGTCACGGCGACTGCTTATGGCCTATTATGTTAATTCCCGCTTCCTGCTTTGTGATTGGTTCTTCGCTCTTCCCATCGGCGAATGCAGCAATCTCATCGGCCTTGGAGCGATAATGAGATGCTCGCCGCGCCCTGAGTTTCTTAAGTTGTCAGAGACCGAAGCCATGTTGGGTAAAGATGCACTTCTGATTTCCCAGTTTTAAAGCATGAAACGCTTTTGAACGATTCTCCCAATCTCATACTTTTGTCCATCCGACCAGTTCCCGCTAAATTTACCGGGGAATGTGACGTCACGTGACCTATAGACCTCGGGGAAATTGACTGCACGTGTCCAATACGTCAACTCAGTTTCCCCGCTAAATTTATCGGGAAAAGTCACGTCTCGTGGCCAAAACATAAATTCAGGTTTCCCACTAAATTTAGCGGGAAATTGACGTCACGTGATTTATACACCAATTCAGTTACCCGCAAAATTTATCGGGAAAAATCACGTCTTGTGACCTAGGCACAGATCCAGTTTCCCCGCTTAATTTAGCGGAGGAAATCGAGGTCGCATGACCTGTACAACCATTGTTCTCCCACTAAGTTTGTCGGGAAAACATACGTCACATGACACACCAATTCCTTGTAAAGAATTTCATGCATTCTAGGACCTTGAAGGTAAAGGTCTCTGCCAATTTTATTACGAATTAAAACTAAAATATTTTTTTTTTGTTGCAAAAATAAATTACGCATTACCGAACGCTCATTCTCCACCCAAATGTAGCGCTAGAGGTCCAAATGCTAAAGTTTCAAAACTAACCGTTATAATCCAAAAGTTATAAGGGATTTTCTGAAATTTTAAACGAAAACATGGCGGCCGGGCCGATGGACGGAGCTCTCGAAATACGCCGAGCTGAATGGTGCCAGTCACTGAAAATCGGCGAAAACCAGCCAAATCCTTTTCAATGATCCAGACGGTTATTTCAACAAAACTGACTAGAGTGCCGAAGCAAAGCATCTTGTTAAGACTCTCACTAACATTAGACGGCGTCAGTAAACTAATAAGAATAAATACGGCATGGGCGCATATCCGGTTCCGGTAACACACGTAATGCAGTATTACATTATACATATGAGCCTGACGGGCGACGGGAATTAGGTGCTGGCTAAAGGACTCACGCGTTTGACGTGGAACACAAAGTAGTCGTAGCGGTTTCGTTCAACTGTCCCTGAAATACAAAAGAAATTGAATATAAACAGTTGTCACTTTAAAGTACCATAAAATCATATTACAAAAAAAAAGTTTAGAACATTTGTTTATTGTGCAAATTTAGTAGGAGTTTTCTCGACAATTATTAACCACGTACTGAGCGAACATGGGAGTAAAACAACAGTTCACTAGAAACTGTTAGCTCACTCCCATCACAAACATTGTGCAACATGTCAGTGTCTGTAGAAGCGTTATAACTTTTGGAAAATCTGCCTTGTACTAAAAGCTTAGTGCCGCTCAGCGACGATCGTGGGCATGGAGATTGCGTGAAAGTGTGACGCCTTAGTTCACTAGGGATTGTACAAATGTAAGTCCCTCTCTCTCTCTCTCCCAGGGCATAAAATATTATTTTGACGTTTCCCGTGAGTTTTGGCATATTCTATTTACGGGACAAACGTTCGTTTCGAAACCTAGGGATACACTGAGGCGCCATAATCAGCACTCTGAAAAACGTCGTGGGACTTTCCAAGTCGCGCGGCTTTTTCGCGGCGCTAGACTGTCTGTGGTAGAGTTCCTCTGAAGGCTCGCTATGAAAGCCAGAGTTGCGCGTTTGTTTTACACGTGCCGCCGCGCTGCTGTTCGCCGACATCGATCACGTGAGGAGTAAAATCCTAGTGCCGTGCAGAAAAGCTCTGGCAGATCTCGCAGAACCCGCGGCGGTTCGTCAACGAGATAAAGTGGAGGAATTTTGAAATTAACTGCAATAACGTCATCCTTAAAGTTGCACTGGAATACCCATAAGCATATTTAAGGAGTTTTACACCACAAAACAGATTTACATTTGCGGCACTGACTTGAGCCATATCAAAGTACGCTTATATATTCTCCAAATCGACGTCTCGAGAAAAAAAAAAAAAAGCTTTGAAATCGGTTCTACTTCATTAAAAATGAACCTCGCGACCTAAATATACCGCTAATCTTTTTTATAGGTTAACGTTCATGTAACACTTTATTCTTTTTTAATATTTGTTTAGTTAAATGTTGTCCATAAAAGGAGCATATTTCAGAATTGCTTTTTAGGTCTTAAAAGGCTGTTTCCCATGCTGCGATTCTCGTCCGAAATCGGTACGATTTCCAGTAAATGTGCAATTAAAATCTCAGTCGCACTGTCGCAGCGTCTCTGCGATGGTTTCCACCAAGTTCGTTTTTTGTCGCAGAGTCGGTGCGATCGCTCTCTTGTCAACCAGCCGTTCACTAACCAGCTTTTTTATCCGCGATAGATGCGTATTCGAAAATAAATTTAGACACCTAAAAGCGTTTGGTTTAAGGCTTAATTATTAGAAATTTCTGGTTACTTATTGTATTCGTAAAATATTTGTGTTTATTAAGACATTTTTGTTGTATTTTAGGCAAAGTCAAAGGCGTCGCGTCCCTGCCCGAAGAGCCGGCCGCGCCGACAGAAATCGCGTGGTTGTTAGTAGGGGTGTCGCGAACTTTTGTCGACCGGATTTTTAGGTCGAACTTTCGGGGTTCGACTGGGTCGAATAGGTTTTACGAACCTTCGAAAGTTTCCCCAGATTCGACCGGTTCGACTTTGTGGACAGTGTGACCAGACCTTGATACAAGCATGTCTAGGTTTGGAAAAAAAAAAATTTATGCAAAGGTTTTTTTTTGTTTTTTTTTTATAAACAGTTGCAATTAAAATACACCAATTCTAATCACTGAAGAAGTTAATGAATTCATTTTGTGTACTGTATTAACTAAAATAACCAATCAGCGCTGCCCTTAATTCATTCCTTAGCCATCACCACCCAATCCGAAGCCAACAGGCCAGCCTGTCGCGCATGCGCACACGAGTCGAACCTCAATACAAGGTTCGTCGAACGTCAAACCTGGTCGAACTCGAACCTCGACCGGTTCGCGACACCCCTAGTTGTCGGAGCATGTGAAACCAAACATTGCAATCGCACTCGCTGCGTCGGCTGTCGCACCGATTCTTTTTCGCACAGTCGTTGCATGTGAAACAGGCTTTACTGAAAATGTGCGTCTTGACGTAATAACTGCGATCCTTTTCTTTTTCTTTTTCTTTTCGGAAGCGGGGGGGGGGGGGGGGGGGGGGGGTTAGAATAATTGATGACATGGGTGTCCTATCCAAGCACTTAAAACAATATTGTTGTTGATTTTATTTCACTTCAGTGTCCTTTTAACGCGCGTTATTTTGCAAAGCTAATGGGAAACCGCGATCCAGTCTTCCACCGATATTAAAAATGTCCTATAGGCCAGTCATATGTTTTTGCGGTACGGCAGTACCAAGGTTGCGCAATACAAACATTGCGCCACACGAGGGCAATGCAGCAGATCGCAAGGGTTGCCATCATGCTCAAGCCGGTAGTTTCGGTTTTGCCGTAGACCTCCGAAACAAAACTTCGTGATAGGACACCTACGAAACTACACGAGGCATCGAGAAAAAGAACTGACAGCTCGTAATTCAGGGGCACTTCCATCGTTAAAAAACCCTCGTAGCCCTAAAATCGAGAAAATGTACCGGAGTTTAAGTCGCGTTTTTCCGAAGTTACGCGAGTCGGTTGGACTCACGTTTGGAGACACCGTCGTCCCAGAAAAGCTGTCCCGTTGCGCTGCCTTCCTCTGGATATACGAGCAGCGTAAAGGGCTTCTTCAGACTGACACCGGGACGGGGTCCGAGCCAAGAAAAGTCGAGGTAAGCGAGCGTGACATGCAATAAACCATGGCAAGAAACATGCTTCAATGACTGGTATGAGTTGCGAAGTGTCGACAGAGTGTCGCGTGGGCCACACAGAACAATAACCTAATTCATCAGCCAGATAAAATTTGATATCTGTCATTTGTATCCTATTCGCAACTGTAGTGTGCATCTAGACTAGAGAGTGCTCCGTGTTTTTGGAGTTCATTTTTCTTCGAATTCGGAAGTGGTTTTTCAGAGTTTATATTTTTTTTATATATTCGGTGTCTATTTTCGGTGTTGGACAAAAACTCGCCGTTTATCGGGGATTATGGTGAGAAAAAAAAAAAAAACAGGACACTGGAATGGGATTCCCCAAGTGTTCTGCTGTCGGATGTTGAGATCCTGGCGGTTTCGTCGTAGAAATGCTGGCGAGAAGCATGAGCGAACGCGAGTGTCGCTGTCGTCGCGGCGTCCCAACTTCCGGCTGCAGGAGCTTCCGTGGGCTGCCACACTGGAGAGCGACCTGCAGCAGAACAGGCGTCTGCCGCATCCAGCACCGTTGCTTAAACGCCGCCAGGATCGCGACCGACGACAGCGTGACACTTCTGCGACGTCATCAGGTGGAAATTGAGGGACAACTTTTTTGGACGCGGTGAACATACCGGTCGGAAACGCTATGTAGGCACCATACCTCGGTGAACGCACAACGACTCGCACACATAAAATAGACGGACTCAACGAGGTATACCCTCGTTAAGCCCATCCATTTCTACGGTATTTTGTGGCGTGCTCAACGAGGCAAGCCACAAACGCCTGCAGTCATGTTTGTTACCCTTTAAAACTAAAACGAAAAAGGCAATCTCAGAATATCTTTTTGGAAACGTATCTAGACTATTTGTTTCTCAAACAGAAAAAAAGAGTATTGGCGATAAAAATACTATTATGACACGGAGAAACAATTTTACAGCGAACATTTCACACGTCAATCATCTCTCCAGCCAATGAGAGCCGAGAAACAGTGCTTATAGCTAAGCACCTTTCGTTATGGGCGGGGCCTTGAGCACAGCTACCTCCACGTAAATTGCGTCTAGTGGCGTAAATATTGTTAAAAAAGGTTGTTTTTTTTTTTTCACGAAAAATACAGAAAAGAATACGTGTCCCATCTAAATCCTTTAATTTTTTTTAACGCTTTTGGCCAGAGTTGGGAATATATGGTGCCTCCATGTGCATGCGATGCGTGGTGAGTAAATCATAATTATAGACGCTTTGCACACGAGCTATATTGCAGCCGCCATTACTGACCTTCTCTTGTCTTACCGAGATACCAAGCCACTGAAGCGCGCTTTGAGGAGCCTCCAGAAAGGCCATTGCTTAGGAGAAGGACACAGTCGGATCTGAAATGGCAATTACCTGTCCTGCTGGGGCAATGATGGGGGGAAGTGATCAAAATAAAAGGAAACAAAAACTGAAGGTCACTTATGGCGGCGCCCATGAACAGCTGCTGAAAAGCGTCTATAAAGGGTGTGAAGCCCATGGGGAAAAGACAATCCGGAAATCGCACGGCAATCGGAACAAGCGAAAACCGTTTCCTATCATTTTTTAGGAACGGGGGTATTTACTGAGCGCAAATAGCAAATATGGTTTCGTTAAAGGCTTACTTGTGATTCCTTTACAATAAAAACGCACACATGGCTCGTTTTCATAAAAAAAAAAAAAAAAACCGGCGTGAAACTATTTTTTAATATGACGAATTCGGTGCGATTCTTCGTTTTCGGCGTGTGCGATTTAGCCCTAAAAGCCTTGTTTTTTTTTGTTTTTTTTTGTCTGAAATCTCTTTTAAAACGTATTGTAAAAAATATAAAGAAAGAAAAATCCAGTTTAATGTGTTATATCCGCAGAAATCTTCTTAACTTATACTTTTATCAGCAATGAGGTCTCGTTTTCGTCACCCTTGTTGCACGGCAAAACACAAAATTCTGCGAAAACAAAATTGCGGAATTATGTTTTTTTTTTGTGTTACACACACACGCCCGCGCATGTAAAAAAATATTAACATTGTCAACGGTGCTTCCGTTTCTCTGACGGGGCGCGTGGCCTTCAAAGTAGCCCCCAAACTGGGTATCTTGTCATCCCTACCCGCAGGTTTATATACTGGCAGTGATGCCAATCCTTTTCTCCATCCCACTGATCACCGACGATTTGAAATAAAATAAAAAATCACGGTAGGTAGTCAAACCTGGCACAATCATTCGGGTGCATGGTCACTCGGATGCATTCGCTAGATCCTGGAGCAGCAAGAGTAGCACACTCCCCAAAAAAAACAAAAAACATTTAAGGCCCGTTCACACTCTTGCGACCGAGTACGACTGAGAGAGACGAGATCTCTTAAAACTTCTTAAATGTTTTTAGCATGAGGGAACACACTGACATTGTGGCGCCATCTATGCGGTGACCCTGGAACTGCATTTCACGAGAGCGAAGGTTTTTCGGGATTTCCGAGGTCAAATGTGCGTAATACCCATAGAAAGGCTCGTTTATAACATTGACAAAAGTTTTTCGAGCCAAGAAAGAAAGGATAATGCGCGAGAAATAAAAAAAAATATGCCGGACCGCCGAGTTTACACTGCTTCCCAATAGATGGCGCCAGTGTGTTCTCTGGTTTAAGAAGTTTTAAGGAACCCAGGTTTAAGAGGTCGCAAGAGTGTGAACGGGCCTTTAAGTTCAAATTCATTTGAAACACTGAGGTAGCCAGTCGCAGCCAACAATCAAAGGATCCCATCGAATGACGAAGCTCCTTTTGGCTGCCCCTGTGTTCTGGGGGTAATTGAGCCACTCAGCTTCGTTCGGATTTGAGACATATCGCTCACCTGTCTCGGGTGCTCATGTCCGGTTTCTGAGTCGGAATCACTGAGCCAGCACGAACATAGAGAGGCGTCTTTGTGCTCAGCGTGACGTCATCCAGGATCATGTATTCGCCAGTGCTCGGGAAAGGCGCATTCTGAGGGAGTTATCAAAATGAATTTCCCAAACGTAACTCTTTTCATAGCTTCCTCTATACTCACGAAGCCTGGCAGTTCGGCGGCGGAGCCATAGAATGCCCGTTTGCAGATTTGGAGCGCGAGGATCTGGTAGCACAGAGCATCAAACAGCCATTTCTCGGGGAACCTGGACGTCGGCGCACAGCTTTTGCAGCGGCGAGGACCCGAACACACACTTTCGGGTCCTCGCGTGTCGGCGTCTCGCCGCAGCGGGGCGCCAGTCGCGTAGCTCTCCTCTCATCCGTTGTCTGCCGCTCCACATTTTCCATTTCGGCGGCCGCTTCTCATGGCGATCTGCCAGGCTTTGTCAGTTTATAGGAGGCTATGCTTATTTTTAGCTCCTTCATCGTTAAAGCTATATTTTTCTTTGTTTAAAATACATTGGTGCGGTCGAAACTTGAATATGCAGCCTCCATCTGGAGACCCGATACTACTTACCTTATTGGCTCATTTGAATCCGTCCAGAACAAGTACGCACGTTTCATATTAGCTAACGATATAACCGCACCGCTAGTCTAACATCAATGACAGACAGCCTACCTGTCCCCTGCCTCGCACGTCGCCGCAGAATGTCTCGTTCACAAATCCTTCCACCATAACCTTGCGATCAGATATCAGCTAATAGATCCTCCCTCATTTGTTTCAGCAACTCTTGATCATCATTACAAGGTTGGCATCCCATTTTGTCGTTATAACACATTTTACGCATCATTCATCTCTAGAGTGTCTGGAATCACCTACCTACATCACTTGCATCAATTGTCGATTCCACTCTTTTTTCTACCATACTTAGTAATTACGTGTTTACTTTTGCTTAGTTATTGTTTATGTGCTTTCACTATTTAACACATATATATTTAGTTCCCATTGTTGTAAATATTTGTATTTTTCGCATGTTTATACCTTAAAATAAAAAAAATAAAAAGTGAAAGCCGCTTACAACTCCATGTAACGCCGAATTAGAGCGCAGCTCTTGAGGAGGAGGAGGGAAGGGTACTGGGGGGGGGTTCAACTAGCCATTGGGGTCACGTGACCTTGGGGGTCACGTGACCCCCCAATGCCGAAGATGTCATCACTGACGTCACTGATGACGTCATCAGTGACGATGACGATGCGGATACCGATGACGTCATTAGTGACGTCACTGATGACTTCACCAGTGATGATGACGATGACGATGCGAATGTCGGTGACGTCATCAGTGACGTCACTGATGACGTCATCAGTGATGATGACGATGACGATGCGGATGCCGGTGACGACATCAGTGACGTCACTGATGACGGCATCACTGATGATGACGATGACGATGCGGATGTCGGTAACGTCATCAGTGATGATGACGATGACGATGCGGATGCCGGTGACGTCATCAGTGATGATGACGATGACGATGTGGATGCCGGTGACGTCATCAGTGACGTCACTAATGACGTCATCAGTGATGATGACGTCATCAGTGATGATGACGATGACGATGTGGATGCCGGTGACGTCATCAGTGACGATGACGTCATCGGGGGTCACGCGACATCGGCGGGGGTCACGTGACCTCGGGGGTCACGTGACCCCCCTCGAGGTCACGTGACCTCAGGGGAGTCACGTGACTTCGGGGGGTCACGTGCCCCCCACGAGGTCACGTGACCCCGGTGGGGGGCTCGCGCGGTGCATTATGGGACATTTCCCATAATGCACCGCGCGGTTACGCCGACGGCGACGGCGACGCCGACGCCGCTCAAGCCGGAAACGGGCCCCTAAGAGCTGCGCTCTAAAACTCCCCGTTGTGGTGCTTTTGGCACTTAGGGTAAAATAAAAATTACAGGATGACGCTTAAGCTTCACCTTTACGCTAAACATATAAGCTCCCGCTCATTCCCAAGACGTGTAAGAGTTTCTGCGTGGTTTAGTCAGTCGCATGTCTGGCTCTTGTTCGAATCCCACCTCAAATTCTTCAGATTTTTTCTTTAAGGCAAATCGATTATTTTATAAAGTGAAATCATTTGATGCGTGCGGCGACCTTGAGTTCGCAATACATGTCATGTCATTAATCACTTTCATTCCACGCGTGACGTCACATTTCACGTGAGCGTTATGGGTCGTTCGAAATTCCCGCGCGAGGTCATGTGACTGTGACGTCATGACCCTATCGACCAATCGGTATTTTCCCGTTCCTCCGACGCCGGCTTTTCCGCGACACGAGCTCCTTATAACGCTCTCGTCTCAGTAAATAAATAAATAAATACATAACAAGGACGTTGGATTCTTTATGTCCGGAGGTCAGCGCGGAGGCACGATTGAACACGAATGCTACGTCATTGCTCGGCTGGGATTTGTGTCCAATCAGTGAAAACCCGAGTTCCATCCGAACGCTCACGGAGTACTCCCGTCCAAGCCTCAGATAAGTGATGCAGTAAACTCAGTACTATAGGCTTGTTACCTAGAAGGGAGGTGTTGGGCGTATACGAACTAAGTGTCGTTACCTTCGCCAAGAAACAATTTCCTTACGGTGTAGTAGTTGTACCATAGTCCTCGAGGCACATAGAAGGACATGTATGTCTGATTCTGGAAAAGAGAGTAAATAATGTTGGTAAACAAGTATGTGCGCGAACCCTGTCGGTTCGATATAATCTTTCTAGATCACCCATAATATAAACAGCGATGTGATTGGAATTTTATTTCGTTATGCAGAGCTAAAAACCTGCCGTAAAGGAACGGGAAAGATTACGTCTTTTTGTAAAAATACAAACAAAGAGGTTTAATCTTTTCTACAAGAAAAAAAAATTATTCTCTTTGTGCGCACTTTTGCTTTATGTGCACTCTAAGAAATGCCTGCGCGTCTACTTTCCCGCAAAGCACTTAAATAGCCAATCTCTGCGATCTACGAAATCAGCTCAGCGAATGATGAGGCGGAACATCCGTTTAGACCAAAAAATAAAGTCTGCGCTGTGGCATTACGCAATGCAAAGCGTCACGCAAACGGGATGCCACGTCTGAAGTTCTTACTTCTTCCAGGATCGGAGAGACCAGGAGGGAGCTTCCCCACATGAACTGCTTGTCTATGCCGTACGTGTGAGGCTCCTCGGCAAATCTGGAATTATACGGGCCACCGTATACTGCACAGGAAGACAGTGCCGACTCCCCCCATGAGCTCAAATGTGAAATTCGCCATTCTACCTTTAGTGCCTGTTCATTTATTACGGGTTTCGGCAAATTGATCACTCTGGTACTCTGATAACGATATCTGGCAACGTAATGGTCGCCGACAACGTAAGGAACGTAGAGTGTGGCGAGCACCGAAGATCTTATAATCCCTTCGGAGCCAATGAGGTTTCGACATTAGATCATAAAAATGCCGAAGAAAGAATAACGATGCAAGAATTGAGCACATGCCCGGCATTCCTTAAGTTATCAGTGACTATTACTGCGCTATTGCAAACGGTTATCGTTTGTACCGAGAGGGGTCGGTTGCTGTCATTAAGCCTATCATCGGCGGTAGCGATATGAAGGTAGCTCAAGCTACCTTCATCTAAATTCGATGCGTCGCTGAGAGTCGATGCATTGGCAGTATTCTACATCACGCTAGCGCCGCGAATATTTTATTTATTTATTTTCAGATACCTGCCACGCCAGTAGCGTTGTAGCAGGTAGAAAAAAAATTGCATTACAGTAAAACGTATTGGGCAAATGGCAACAGTACAATGACTACGTAGAAATATGTGCATACTAAAAAAAAAAAGACACACACTAAATAAAAAAAAATAAAAATAAAAAAAAAACTATAAGAACACAGAAAGGATTAAAAAAGTAGACAAAAGTTTTGGAAAAAAAAAAAGAAAAGATATTTGTTTGTAGTGTTTACAATTTCGAAGGTAAAGAGTTCCGATCACTTATTGTTTGAACAAAAAATGGGTTCTGAAATCTGAAATAAGTCGTAGTTGATACTGCGCTCCAAAAGAAGGTGCCTGAGGGTTGATTTTCCTGCAGAGCAAGAGACAACCAGTCACGGCCAACAGCTGGATTCCCAGTGAATGACAAACCTCAAATCATGATTGGATTGAAAAAAAAAAAAGGGATGTGCTCAGGTACAATGAGCATGACGTTTCACTTGCTCAATGTATCACTGCATATAACTTTTTTGTTCAGCTCTAATAGTAGTACACGCTTAAGACTGAACCGTATGAAGCGAATTATGCGACGAATAACTGACGAACTTCGCCCGACGGCACGCTCGCTTTGCACGCGACGTGTCAGTCACTGTGCTGATGCCACGCGCAGAGCAAAAACCGCCGGACAAAATTCGTCGCTTTTTTGCATCATATTCGCCCATAGAGTCCAGCCTTTAGTCATTCACTGGGATCCTTCTGTTTCTCGCCGTGATCGACTGTGTCCATGTAATACAAAAAAAGGAACTCACGGACTGTTTTAGGGTGTACCAGAGGATGCTCATCTGCATCAAGAAGTGCGTCATCTTTACCGGGTATCGTTGCCAGAGTTCTAAAGCGATCAATTACTCGTTAAGACGGACATATGTTTGTGGTTCAAAAATGAAACCCACTTTTCGTCTAATAAGATGTCGTAACAAAAAGCGAGTACAGGCAGTCGAAGAAAATATCTCCTTCAGCATACATTTTTATATATATTCATAGAACTGAATTGTCAAATGCAACCATTTGTTATTAACTTCGTCTGTTGCTAATTATCGACGCTTGCTGCGCCCTGTCGGACTGGTTTGTATTGTAGAATTGCACGACAATTAAAAATACGTTTTTATCTTTCCCCATGGCAGGTTATATATAAAAACAAAATACAAGCTGAAATTCCCCAAGACCCGATCCTCATCGTCGCAAGTTGCAAAGAGTCATATCTTGTCATTCCAACGACAAGGACACGTGTACCGGTAAGTGCCTGTGAAATACAAAGTTCTACCAGACGGAATCATCCACCTGGGAACAGTCCTCATAAAGCTGCGCACACGCAATAATGCCCGTCTCTTATCTAGTATTATTTCTGAAATGAGAATAATTATCAGCCAAGGTCTATTATCCTTTTGACCACGGCAAATTTGACGACGATAAAAATAACTTCAAGGAAAGGTGTCTACACCAGGGCACGGTGACCAGGGCCGGCTTGCTAGAAACAGCGTCTCAGCTGAGACCGGGGGGGGGGGGGGGGGGGGGAGGGGGGGGGGGAAGCACTGCCAAAGCCAACGCACGAGCTTAGCGAGACTCAAGCCGCGTCTCTAGACTCTCGGGCGCCCCAGCCTTTGCGGTGCTTTCTTTCACCCAGTCTCAGCTGAGACTCTGTTCTTGCAAGCCGGCCCAGGAAAAGGTGACAGACCGAATTGACGTCAGTCAAAGCACCCCAGGGTGAACGCGCAGCAGCTCGCAAACCATACGGTACGAACTCGAAGAAAAGTGGTCTGACCACAGGAGTGCCATTCCTGTGAGCCTCGTAGAAGAGCGTGTACAGGTAAGGCAGCAGGGAGTAACGGACATGGAGAGCTGCCCTGATGACCTTGACAGCCCCAGTGCTGAACGCCGCGGGATCTTGATCCTACATGAAATGGAAGGCTGGATAACTGCTCGAGGTATGAGATATTGGTTTGGAAGTCAATTAAAAGTGTTAAAATAAGATCGAGTTTCGATTTAGTCTACAGCCATCTCCCGAAGAGGACCCGTTCGATCGAAACGTCACTCCCGATTTTTCCGTTTCACTCCGAGGGAGCTATAATCAAGGAGCGCTAAAAAGAACGTCGTCATAGCGCTTGTCGTCTAAATGCGTTTTTCCTTCCACACTAAAAAGAAAAAAAAAGTTACAGTTGTTATTTTGTTTAGGGTGTAACTTGCTTGTCCGCGGAGTTCATTTCAAAAGATTGGAAAAGTTACCCCTTCCATGCACTTGGGAGCAACTTGTTACACCATGGCTTAGTCATTGATGGCAAACGCGCAAAAGCGACGAGCACCGGTGCGCCTTTTCCGTTGCTTGGCGGGTTGCTTGATCGGTGGTCGGAGTTAACGTGAAAATAAGTATATAGCATATATTTGTCTTTCGGCCGGCTTTCTAACCTTTATTACCATTCGACAGCACCGTCCATTTACCTGCGTGGTTCGACTATTTCATCTGTATAGAGGCCCACGAAACAATGATGAACATGACTCATGATACCACGCGTGTACGGCTTGCTTTAAAATTAATTTCTCGCTTTACGCTTAGCTTTTTGTACCCAAGGATGGTGCAGAAGTGGCTCGAGAAATTACACTATGCGCGCACAACGTCAAAGAAACTGTTGCGATCGAGTGTGCTTATGTCCGACTATTTACTTGCAAGCCCTCTTCTTCGAACGCAATATCAGAAAGACAAATGCGCACGTTTTCGCCAAGAACTAAACGAAACCGAAGCCCTTGTGATATACCATTTCCAGAATCACCAAAGTGTTCATATTTGAAGCCTACGTCCACGCACTCGCGCTAAAAGTCGCCAAGTTGCTAGCAGCACGGGGCTGCACGTGCAATCGCGCAACGCGACATGAATGTTGAATGGCGCTTAGTTTCGTTCTGCAGATGGCCTAATGCGTTTCCCTCTCTTATTACATATAAGCAGCAATCGCGACGGAGAGCGCTTACCGCGGGTCCCCGGTCGTTGTGGTTCCTGCTGAGCGGGTAGAAGGCCCCCAGCTGCATCCAGCGCACGCACAGCTCCTCGGTCGGGACGCCGAAGTAGCCGCATATGTCCGCTCCCACCTGAAGACGATCGTCACTCACGAGGACGGCAAGTCACCGCAAGCCATAGAGTTTAGCTATTGTAAGTGTAGAGAGAAAAAAAAAGAGGTCCGAAATCTTTCAGGGCGGGGCGTATGGGCAAACATCCAGGGTCCCGGTTCGAGTTATCTGAACACCTGTCCCTCCTAAAATAACTTTGGCGCTGTTTTTTACCGCAAAAATAAACTACGCATCGTCGAACGCTTTCTCCTCCCAAATCTAGCGCTTGCAGACCGAACCAGAAGTCAGTTTTTGAACCGACCGTTATCTCAAGAGGAAATATTATAAGCGATTTTCTGAAAACTTCAATGGAAAAATGGGGCCCGTTTTCGCCAGTTCTCGGTAACATGGTGCCATTCAGCTTCATGTATTCGACAGCTCTAACCGGCCGCTATTTTCCCCAATGAGAATATTAGAGAATCATTTATAACTTTTTAATCGTTTGAATAAGGGAACGTTTTCCCAAACTTCGGTTCCTGGTTCGGACCGCTGGCTTTACATTTGGGTGGATGATGAGCGTTTGTCGACGCGTAAATAATTTTTGCAATAAAAAGAAAAAAATACAAAAACAAAAAAAAAACACTTTTCTTGGAAAGGGGGGGGGGGGGCATTTTGCACATAAAACATTATGCGTTAAAATTAACTGCTTTTAGCCAGCCATATAACTAACTCTACATTAAAAAATAACAAAAAAGTTCGACTTCCTGTGGATTATTGTTAATTTTCCGCGTTGTGTGGGGAATGCAATGTTTGTATCGGCATTTAAAATCACCCATTCATTTTTATTTGATCGAATTTTACACATTTCAGACTAAAAAAAGCCTCGAGTTTCCTTCACTGACAACCGAAACTTGCGAGATCTTCGAGCGGCAACGTATAAACTATAATAACACAATTTGCTTTGATTTTTTATGTGATAACGAGTATATATAATCTATGCGGAGGGCAAGTTCGTCTGCTTCTTGCGCAGGGGGTAGCGGTGACGTCAGAACGCCGAGCGCTGATTGGCTGATCGCGACCCCCCTATCTGAGCGTCGTCTGCTTCTTTGCAACGTCGTCTGCTCGCAACGTCGTCTGCGTCTGTCTTACCTTTCCTGCGACTTTCGGAAGTCCAGAGGCCAGATTCACGAAACAATCTTACGCCTAAAATGTGCGTAAAACATAACTTGAGAAGAAATTCGTATTCACGAAACAAAATTTTCGTAAGTTTTGTGCAGGTGACGACAAAATCCTACGACAGCTCCGAAGCTGTCTTACGCACTTCTTACGATCAAATGAGCATGGCCGACAGCGTCGCGGTCGCGACGACCCACGGACGTTTATTTTGCTTCGTGCGCTTCTGACGCGTCCCGACTTCATGCAGCAAGAAAAAAAAGTAAAAAGTACTTGAAACAGACCACGACGAACAAGAACGCTGGATTCACAAACACCCGGGAAAAGCTCCAAAGGCCACGATTCCACCGAACGCGACCAAGCGAGCACGGCAGTTAGGCCTAGCAGGCACTCCGCGGACCGCGACTCGGCGACCGTCTGCCCACGACCGGCTGGTGTGCTGAATGTAATATGCCCGCGCGACCCTTGTGAACCCTTCCCGTATTATACTTTGATCGCTGACCTCAGTTTGAGATTAAGAGGTCAATTTCTTCCTCTTGTTATCTCCTTGTTTCCCGAGGAAACGGTGACTCTCGCCGGTGAAAAAGCGGTGTATCTCCGACAGACGCAGGAAAGGTAAAGCAGCCATTGCTTTGACTAGCAGACGTAAAGCAGACGACGTTAACTGCGCCAACCCGCCGACGCCGTTGAAGAATGAGGGGTCTCGCCGGACGCGAAAGGAGGGAAAAAGTATTTGGGAGGGAACTTGCGGACACTAACACGCTCACTCTCGGTTCTTGGCAAACAAACCTCGACGCCTCGGGACACCTCGCCAGTGACTGCTTTGACTTCCCTCCTTGATGCGCGTCTGCTAGTTGTTAGACAAAAACAACGTACCGCTCGAGTTATTAAGTCTGCCCTCTCTGAAAGGCGAAGTCCAGCTCGCTCGCAAAGACCTGCTCTTCCGAAATTCGCAAAAAAGGTAAGACAGACGCAGGCGATGTTGCGAGCAGACGACGTTGCCAAGGAGCAGACGACGCTGAGATAGGGGGTCGCGATCAGCCAATCAGGGCTCGGCGTTCTGACGTCACCGCTACTTCCTTTCTCATGCGCAGAAGACGAAAATGAGCCCACTTGCGAGGCGTATACATATGCTCGTTGTTTGTAAACAAGGCCGCCTTTGACCACAGAAGTTGTGAGCATTGCACATGCGCAGAACCGCGTTTTTCGAAGAACACAGCTAGCGCCACCGCTTTGGCGTGACGTCAGGCACGTGAGTCGGCGTACAGTCTATAGAGCCACTGAATGTTTCCCGAACATCGAAATACCTAAGCTTACGTTTCGTTTAACCGCTAACCGTATACCGTTACGAATCCTAACGGCACACGGTGCCTGGAACGCGTCTTTGACTGCGTCCCATCCCGTCCACACTCCGAAAATGGTCCAGAAGGAGCAGCAGACGACGTCAAAGAAGCCGGTGTGTCATGATGGCGGATGTCGCGTTTCTGGTGGTTGGTGCCAGAAGTCCCGGCGGTAAACAAAAGCGAAACGCGAGTGCCGCTGTCGTCCCGGCGTTTCAACTCCTGACTGCCGAAGCTTCCGTGGTCTGTCAAGCTGGAGAGCGACCTGCAGCTGAACAAGCGTCTGCTACGTTCACCGCCGCTTGCTGCGACGCCGCCAGGATGGCGGCCGGCGACAACTTCCCACTCCCGTGAAGTCATCAGGCGGAAGTCGCCGGACTACTTTTTTTAGGACGCGGCAAAGACACCTGTCAGAGACGCGCGTTCCAGGCACTACGGTAGGTACTTGCGCGTACAAACCTAAAAGTGCCTGAAATCCCCCCTTCCCCGTGTTAAGTTGAGCAAAATGTGGACGCAACCGAAACGTATACACAGACGCATTCGCGTCACACGCAGGGGGCGCTGTTTTACTTACGTACGGAATTCCGAACAAGTTGAACTCCAGAACACCTGAGGGTAGAAACAAAAGCGTTTCGACTAAGTAGTCACCTACGTAGTAAGAAAGGCGGGACTTCGGGATTCTTGGGTGTCTCCTTATCGTCCCCGCAGCCAATCAGATTGAAACATTAGCCGACAAGAACGCCGAGGAAAAAAAATCAGAATTATAATGTGATAAGTATAAAGCGCCGTCTTCGCGTCGGATCTAGGACCCCCACGCGTGATTGCATCAAAGGATGCTTTGGCAATACTGTACAATATACTGCGAGTTTGAGGTTGGGTATTATTCTACGAAGATTGTAACAACAGCGGGCATGATTACGCAGCTAAGTCAAAAAGTCCAAAATGTGCATCGCTGGCACCCCAAGTTGGGAAATCTCACTGATATTGTCTTTGCTTTCAAAGCATTTATTAATCACATTATTTCGTCTTTATCGATCACCTTGAAATCAAAAATGTGTCAGTTTAGAAAGCTGTCAAGGTCAGCTAAACGGGCTCTGGGACCAGTCTCGATTAAGAAATCGGGGCTTCCAATACAAACCCTCATACGCATGAGGAATAATATATCGGCTAAACCCTCAAAGCGAATTCACGAAATAGTAATCGTCCTCAGCTTCTAACATGACTGACCAAAGTTAGTACACATTTCAGTACGCGTGCATTTAAGTTGCCAAATTGAAAATTATGACAGTGAATTAATTTTTTGGGAGTTCAATTTCAATCTAATTTTATTTCCAACAAAGTAACGCGGTTGAAAAACTGCCACAGACAGCTGGAAAGTGTGTCGGATCCCGTACAAACGGCAATGTTTCAAGCGTAAATTATAATGGCACATATGCTGATAAAAATAGTTGAAATTGTATGAGTTCACACGTTACCACAGCATATGAACAGTAATACACAAAATTGACGCTGGAATTTTATTTGGCAGTTGATATTGTCAGGGAGGATCAGCTGTAGGCTATTATCAGGATGAATCAGCTGCAGGCTAAAAACTATCGCAAAGTGAAAACGATACGTGTCAGCAGGAATTACTGTTCCCAATGACCAAGCTTTTATGTTATAGGTAACAGTTTCTCAAACCGAGGGTGGAGTCTGGACATCGAATCTCTGAATTCCGGTTTTTATGTTCAGCTCCGACCTGCAGTTTGTTTTCATTGACGCCACCGCAAAATGAGAGCCAATTTTGCGTTTTTTTTTCTCTTCAAGTTCCCGAGTCACCTCGCGACGCCCCGCTGAATCTGAGGCGAGCGTTTTTGAGGTCGCGATCCACTATGTGAGAAACACGACGTTTATGAAATACAGATTTGACACTTTTGACACTCAATGAAACATATCAATATTATTAGGTAGAAGAGTACAATAACATGCATAGATCATACGTTTAATATTACGGTACACTCTCAAGAAAAAGGGTGTAAAAGGGTGTATCGTTATACCCATTGTCCCATAGAATACACCCAAGACTTCATTTCGACGTACAGAGCCCTATAGTGGAACAGACGACCCCAAATTTTACGAGAGGCTTGATAACGGTGCAATATAACTTTTTAAATACCTAAAGTCCTTATCAAAGACCACAGAGAGAAAGCACCTAGTTTGTACAGTAGAGCCGAGAAAACCCCGATTATTTTTTTCTTTGCAGTCAATAAAACGTACATATAGCTATTTTAATAAGTTGTACCACAGGGCTATCAAGCCCCTCGTAAAATTTGGGGCCGTCTGTTCGAATGTAGGGTGCTGTACGTCGAATTGAAGTTTGGGGGTGTATTATATGGGACAAATGGTGTAACGATACACCCTTTAACACCCTTTTTTCTTGAGAGTGTACTAACTCAGGCAAGCTAAATAATTGAAAAAAAAAGTATACCTATGAGGGACTGTTGTAGGTCGGCCCATTTACTGTGGTTGTCGCCGAGCCAGTGCCCGGTGTACCTTCCGCTCGAAGGATAAGTAGAACGACTGATGAGGAGATGTCGATGCTCCATCAGGCTTTCCAGGGCCCTGTGCAATTTAAAGTAGCACGTGCTTGTGAAAAAACCGCGCATCGCAGACAGCTAAAACTCTGCGTGAACGTGACGTTGCCGATAGCGATTGAATGTGAAAGTTTGAGAGCAAGACATTGCATGGTTCAAAAGATAAAGACACGACGGACACGGGGCACGAGAGAATAAAGAGCATTCATTCCGAATCGCCATTCTGGCTGATGCGTGCTGATTCGTACATGGTGGCAGCGGCTAAACTTATCGTGAGCGAGGCACGTAAGTGACCAGCCTATGCAGGAAGCCAGAACTGACAACAGTGGCAACGCGACCGAGGACCGCGAAGGACGCCCACGAGAGCAGACAGCGAGCATCATGACCTGTCTGTTGCCCCCGCCGAAGCAGCTAGACCTAACCGGCGAGCCTTGGAATACATGGAAAACGTGGATCACGGAATTTGAACTCTTTGCGGTGGCAACGCACCTGAAGGACCAGCCAAGCAATGTTCAAGCAGCAACGCTCCTCGTCTGCATCGGAGAGGAAGGTAGGCGGATTTACAGCACCTTCACATTCGAAAACGATGCCGACAGAGAGAACATACAAGTTCTGAAGGACAAGTTTGAGCAGCACATGAAGCCAGCTATAAACCTAACGTACCACGAATTTGTTTTTGGAAAGAGAGATCAAAAAGACGGAGAGAAATTCGATGAGTGGTTGACCGAGCTAAGGATCCTCGTGCGAAACTGCGAGTACGGTGTTGTCGAACAACGCATGTTGAGAAGCCGAATAATACTCGGGACTAAAGACAAACAGCTACAGCAAAAGCTTATCAACGACAATCCCACTTTTGCGAAAGTACTCGAAATGTGCCGAACAAAGGAACGAACGCAGGAGCAGTTCAATGAAATCCGCAAAGAGTATGACCAAAATGAGGATGACCGAAGTGAGGACCCACCAGGAATACAGGCGCTGCGAAAAGACCAAGCGACATGCCGCTGTTGTGGTTTCGTACACCGCACGAGCGCATGCCCGGCTACAGGAAAGCAATGCCTTAGCTGTGGCAAAGTTGGACATTTTGCAAAATGCTGCAGCAAAGGTCCACAGTCATCTAACAGCCGACAGCAGCGCCAAGGAAAAAGAGGAAGAAAATACGACCACAAAGTCCGCCAAGTTGAGCGTGAGGACACTGACGAAAGCGATGAAGACTATCTGCTCTGTCACCTAACAGTGAACAAGATAGACAAAGAAGACCGCTGGAGTGAGACAATACAGATCGAAAAAGACCGCCTACGCTGCAAGCTCGACACAGGAGCAAATTGCTCCGTAATCCCAAGGAGATTACTCAGCTTGATCTCAAGTAAAAAAGTCCGCAAGTGTGACACTACACTGTCATCGTTCTTTGGCCACAAAGAAAAAGCGTGTGGAAGAGTTACCCTGACAGTGTCAACTGGAGCCTCAACGACCCAAGAGGAGTTCTTTGTGGTCAAAGATGATGTACCAGTGACACTGGCGGGAGAGCTGAGTGAGAGGCTCGGATTGATCAGACGCATAGCTACAGTCACAGAAGGACCCAACGATGCGACAAAGGAAACAGCTACAAGCTTGAGCGATCCTACGGGACCATATGCAGATGTCTTCCTTGGACTGGGAAAAGTCAGGGGCTTTACATACAGCATGAAAGTAAACCCTGGTACAAAAGGTATTGTACGCCCAGCAAGAAAGGTACCGGTGGCTCTCCAGGAGAAGGTCAAGCGCGAGCTACATAGAATGGAGAACGAAGGGGTAATCATGAAAGTCAAGGAGCCGACCGAATGGTCCAGCTTCATGGTAGTTGTCGCAAAGAAAGACAAAGTGCGCATCTGCATGGATCCAGTAGACTTGAACAAAGTTCTGAAAAGAGAACACTACCCAATGACGACAATGGATGACATCGCCACCCGAATTGCCGGAGCGAAAGTGTTTTCGGCTCTGGACGCATCTTCTGGGTTTTGGCAAATAGAACTCGACGAAGAGAGTTCGAAGTTGTGCACAATGAGTACTCCCTATGGGAGGTACAGGTTCAAAAGGATGCCCTTTGGGATAAGCACAGCTCCTGAAGTTTTTCAGCGCGTCATGAACGAGATTTTGGAAGACCTCCCCGGAACAGCAGTTGTGATGGACGATATACTAGTCTGGGGTAAAACCCAGCAAGAACACGATGAAAACATTAGGCGCCTGCTCCAACGCTGTCGAAATGTGAACCTACGACTCAACCCGAAAAAGTGTCAATTTGGCAAGACAGAAGTTCGTTATCTCGGGCAAGTACTAACCGGAGACGGCATCACCGTGGATCCAGACAGGATCCAAGACATCCTGGAAGTGAAAGAACCTAGAGATCCCAAGGAACTTCGAACATTCCTTGGAATGATCACATACCTCTCTAACTTCATACCACGACTTTCGGAGCGAGCAGCACCGCTGCGGGAACTGCTGAAGAAGGAGAGCGCGTGGGTATGGACAGAACAACAGCAAAGAAGCTTTGAAGACCTGCGGGATGCCTTGACAAAAGCACCAGTGTTGGCATACTACACACCAGAAAAGCCCATAACGCTCTCAGTCGACGCAAGTCAATACGGCGTGGGAGCAGTTATCACCCAGGAAGGAAAGCCACTAGCGTATTCGTCGAGATCCCTGACAGCAGCACAGACAAATTATGCGCAGATCGAGAAGGAGTTGCTTGCTATTGTTCACGGATGTACCAAGTTTCACCATTACATATTCGGACAGCCGTGTGTAACAGTAGAATCGGATCACAAGCCGTTGCAAGCTATTTTTACCAAACCACTGCATCAGTGTCCGATGAGACTACAACGAATGAAGATGGCTCTCCAGAAATACTCGTTGCAAGTGAAGCATATACCTGGGAAAGAACTGCTGCTAGCAGACGCACTTTCACGTTTTCCCGCTAAGGAAACACTGGAAGAAGAGGAAAAGTTCCAAGTAAACGCGCTAGAGCACATATCAGTTACTCAAGACCGCCTTCAAGAAATCCGAGAGGCAACCGCAAGTGACGCACAACTGCAACTGCTGCGTCAGTATGCGCGGACTGCATGGCCGGAAGAGAAAGACCAAGTGCCGCAACTTGGAAGGCCTTTTTGGTCATACCGGGAGGAAATCCATGAAGAAGATGGACTTGTACTCCGATCCAACAAGCTAGTCATACCTACAGCTATTAGGCAAAAGATCATCAACCTGCTGCACGCAGCACACGCAGGCAAGGAGAAGATGAAAAGAAGAGCTCGAGATATCCTGTTTTGGCCAGGAATCAACGCTGACATCGAGGGCAAGTACGACAACTGCAGCATATGTCAAAAGTACAAGCCAAGAAATGTCAAGATGCCACTCTTGAGTCATGCGGTGCCAGCACTGCCTTGGCAGTATGTTAGTGTGGATTTCTTTACTCATCAAGGACGGGATTTCATAATCATGGTGGACTTCTACTCATTTTACTTCGAGGTCGAAGAAATGAAAACCACCACAGCTTCCAAAGTTAAAGAGTTTTGCTTGAAGGCCTTCGCAACACACGGACTCCCTTCAAAACTTTTAAGTGATAATGGCCCGCCGTTTGGGAGCCACGACTTCAAACAGTTCCTGGAAAACTTGAAGATCGAGCAAGTAACTTCAAGCCCTTACCATGCCCGATCAAATGGCATGGCCGAACGAGCCGTGAGGCAGGCGAAACAATTGCTGAGAAAAAGTGCGAACACGGAAGAGTTTTACTATGCACTTCTTGAATGGCGCAACACTCCACGAGACGAGGTCCTCCAATCACCAGTACAAAGATTGATGAGCCGGCATACAAGAACGCTGTTGCCCGCCAGGCTTGAACATTACCTACCTGTTATCGTACCGCCCAAAGCCGTCACACAACGCCTCACAAAAATAAGGCAACAACAGAAGGCTAGCTATGACAAGTCCTCCAGAGCACTAGCAGATATTGAAACAGGTTCTCAAACTACCGTCTACAACAGCCTCAAGCATACCTGGTCACCTGCAATAGTAGTGGGCCATTCTACATCAAGATCCTACAACATTCAGACCCCGGAAGGCCAAGTGCTTCGGAGGACACGCGAACACTTAAGACCAGTGGCACAATCCCCCCAAAAGACGACCTCCGAGGCTACAGAGCCAGTAAACGAGGGTCAAGTTGAGTCTGAGCCGCGCCCGCTGATTCGAAGAGGAACAAGGGATAGAAGGCCACCACAACGATATGGGCATGACCACGATATTTAGATTTACACAAATCTCTAAACTAGTTTTTTTTTTTTTTTTCTGACAAAGGAGATGTAGCAGCTAGCCAACGATGGCACCATTGGAAGAAGAGAAAGACACGACGGACACGGGGCACGAGAGAATAAAGAGCATTCATTCCGAATCGCCATTCTGGCTGATGCGTGCTGATTCGTACATGGTGGCAGCGGTCCACCTACGTCCACCTTCCGTCAAAACAAGAACCGGCATTGTGGATGTAGTACGCGGCATTTGTATAAGTGGAACACACTTGCTGCAGCGAAGAAGGAACCAAGGGCATCTTTTTTTCTGTCAAGTTATTTTTTTTTTTTTTTACTAAAATAAATCCGGTTGTTTCTGTTGTCTCGACGAGTCTCCACGACGACGCCAGCCACTCCTCCCATGTCAAAGAGAAAATACCCGTGGCGGTGCGCGTCCTGCCGTTCCAACTATGCAAAGGCTTTCGGCTCCAAGGCCAATGGATTTTCGCGGAGTGAGATGCATTCGCCTATAGTCCTTCCACTTGAAACCTAACCGCAGCTGACGCTAAAACTCAAAAGAGCCAATCAAGCAGAAAAAAAGTGCATCGTTACGGCGCTTGTTGTCTAGGTCCTCTGACGAAGGGCATGCTACCGAAAGGTAGCATGCCCTTCGCAGAGAAAGAAAACAAACATCGTTTGTGCCCTTTCTCCTCAGTTTTGCACGTTTTTTTTTTGTTTTTTTCTCTCGCGCTTTTAGTTTTTTTGTGCGCACCTTTACGTGCCGGCAGCCCCCTCCTTCCCTTGGATCCGCCTTGCAAACTCACTTGTTGGTTACGACGGTCTGGCTCCAGCCGTACAAGCTGTGCACGTCGTAGTGAGAGTACCTCTCGTTGTCCCCGTGCTGTCCCACCATGCACAACGTGCGGTCGTTGAGTCGCCCGTCGGAGCCGTAGCTGGTAGCCGCGCCTGTGGTGCCAAGATTAGAGTGTGTATCAAGGGGGCCGATAGGCGAAAGCTGACCGAAGAAAGCTATTTTTTTAAGGCGAAAGTCTTACTTGTCCTCTTACGCGAAGAAGCGTCGGCGTTGTGCCCGAAAGATGGTCATAAAAATACGTCCTCAAGCACGCGCCTGAGAAATAAAACACAAAGAAAAGCACAGCAACGCAGATGCTTCGTCCCGGAAGCCGTCGTGAAGACGGCGGGGTTAGCCGCGCCTGCGCAGTGGGTGAGTGAAAAAGGAAGACGTGACGCGCTGCTTCTAGGAATACTTTTGAATTCCTACACGTAAGCAATTTTTTGTTCTTTGCTCAATGATTTATCTATTCACCGGCATATCTTAACGAGGCGCTTCGTGTTCTCTTTTTCACAAAACGTATATAGACCAACGCGCGGCTACGACGTCACATCGCTGCGGCGGCGCTGCTGTCGGTACGGCGCATGCGCAGAATGCTTCGCTCAGATCTAGTTTCTGCGCACGCGGAATGCGTGCGCAGTTGATGCGGACAATAGCGGGCTTGTTTGAAAACGTCGCGTTGGTGTATAACAGGGATGGGCAAAATACATGCAAATATGTATCGAAATACAAATACAAAATACTTCGTCAAAAATATATTTAATTACAAATCTAATTACATTTCCGAAAAAGCATTTAAATACAAGATACAAATACAACCAAATGTATTTGGTCTCCTCCAAATACTTTTCCAAATACATTCCTCAAAATTTGCGTCAGCGACTTCAGGGCACCTGCAATGGCTTTCTGGTTATCTCATTTTAATTTCGCATCGCACACTCGGAAGTTAGTGTGCGAGGCTCTAGTAACGTAATAGAAATATAATTAAAAAAAAATGTAATCAGCTTGGACGTAATAGATGAAAAAAGTACAGAGCTTCAAGGAGCTTTTTTTGTCGATTACATTTTGGTATAGACCAACAAAGACCCGAGACGACCAAGACGCGCAGCACTAGCTAGAGAATTTTTTATTGTTGCAACTCGCAACAGTTACGAAAATCTGGACGACCCGCGAATTTAGAATGTTCCAGGCAAAAATATGGATGGAAATCAGGCTGGAAAGCATCGCAAGTTGTTACAAGCACTTATTTAGGCAGGCTGGCTGTGAACATTGATTTCGTCACTATTCTTGCCCTGGACTAGCACCGTAATCACAAAGTCACTAAACACTTGTGCTTGATTGAGAGACACTACATTCGGTGCAGAACGTAGTTTTCTTCCTGCTCTGGACAGAGACAATAAATTTGAGGGATGTATTTTCGCCCACAACATTGTATTTAATTACAATTGTATTTGAAATACCTACGTTTTATTATTTAAATACACACGTCAAATACAATACTCAATTTGTAATTAAATACAAATGCAAAATACACAAAGTATTTGAAATACTTGTATTTGAAATACTGCCCATCCCTGGTGTATAGCATTTCGCTTTCATTGTCACACATGGCAGGGCACGTATCTCCTGCGCAACATTATTATAATGGCGGTTGACGTTACCTGGAAATAAAGGAAATTTCTTAGGTGAACTACAGTCGGTGACAGTTTAATAAGCGCCGTTTGTGGCGAGTCCTCCTGAGCATCCTATTGTCGCTCCACAGCCAATGACATGGTGGCATTAGACGATAATCGTGCCGAAGAACCAATCACGAAGCCTGAACTTAATAAGCCACGCCCTCGCGTGTTCTTATGTTGTCGCTGACCAATCGGAGTGCAAGCCGCCTGCTTCTTGCGCAGGGTTTGCGGTGACGTTAGAACGACGCTGAGCTCTGATTGGCTATGATGAAAAGGATAGTGGGTATAGACCTCAATGCTACATGCCTTAAGGTCTACCCAGAATTTTTTTTTCTCAATAAGTCAATAAGAGCTTGGCGTTTTGACATTATCGCAAAACCTGTGCAAGAAGCAGACGAACCTAAGCTCCGCATAGGCGTTTTTTTTGCTTTGTTTGGTCGTTGTCTGTGGAAGCACATGAGCGGCATTAGTTTAGTCAATGACAGCTGAAGAACGATATGGTGTAGAAAATTCTGATCATGTTCGACGCTACGGGAATGGGTCACAGTTGTTGTTATCGGGTGATGCTGGGATCCGATTGGCCATTAGAGACAGCGACACGCTTGAGTCGTCTGTGCTTTTATGAATGTCGGTGGCTCTAGAAGCCCCGTCAGTGGCTGTACTACATCAAGCTTATAGGTCTTACGAACACATACGGGTTGGGTAAGGCGGATCGTCGTAGACGGAGTTTGGGCACCTCATCTTCCAGTGGCCGAAACAAGCTTTCGTGACTTTCGGAGACACGACGTCTTTGATGCCGCTGAACTCGGTCGGCTCGTTCATGTCCTGCACGGGCATCAGCAGGTCTCATCAGATTTGGGGCGAAAGATCCAAGGCTATACTAACACCTCTTTCATGGCAAGACCGTGGTGCCTGGTTTTCTACGTTATATCTACCGGAGACCAACGCGAAGCACATAGTGGACACGTGCGCAACGTCATCCTTCGGTTTTGACTCGTGTTCGGTCGGTTATTAGACACGAGTCCCAGCCGAGCGCCTGCCGAAGCACTGTTGCCCAATCTGCGTTCCACGCTGGCCTGCGGATATAGGTCACGTAGAAAATTCAGCATTACGGCCTTACAACCTAAAAGGTGTCGGCTTATACTACGGTGTCTGTAACGCGTCTGCGACCGACGTGTTTAGCGTCCTATTCCCCCCACGTATCAAAAGTGGTCCCCGAAGTGGCAACGGATGACGTAGTAGCCACTGGGTCATGTTGTCGGATGTCGCCATCTTGGTAATTGGCGCAAGGAGTCCCGGCCAAACATCAGATCGCTGCTACAGACGACAGGCTTCGCTCCATCGGGGCGAGGGAGGTTATGGTGCCGTTAGACGCGCCTTCAAAAGCTGATAACGCCGGTTTCCTCCATGGGACAGGTAATGCTTTCGCATTGAAAGTGCGAGGGAACGCGAGTGTCGCTGTCGTCACGGAATTCTAACTTGTGGTTGCCAAAGCTTACGAACTGTCAAGCAAGATGGCGACGATAGCTACCCGCAGCAGTGCAGGCATCTGTCACATCCATAACCGTTGCTGCGACACTGCCAGGATTTTGGCCTACGACAGCGTGACACTTTTACGACATCATCCGGCTTTAATCGAGGAACCACTTTGTAGAACGCAGTAAACGCGCCAGTAGAAGACGCGTTCCAGCAACCATAGCTATTATAAGCGTCGTCACCACTGGGAAGTAGGAATTACCATCCAGATTCCGTCGAAGTGAACCAGTTTTCGCAAAATGTCGAGCTCCTTCGCCCACCAAGACTGGGTGGCGGACCGGAAGAAGTCGACGTACGCCACCGGCCCGCAGGGCCAAAGCTGCAATGAAAAAAGCAAGCGTGTACTCCTTGAAGCGTGGGCCATCCGAGGTTAGCACGCTGTTCGCCGTGAAAATGGCGCCATTCGACGAGCGGCCGGTTTCTAGTATGAACAAAAGTACCCAGTAAAGCGTTTGGAAGCCCTATAAAGTGTACAGGCAGTTTTGTTTCAATTCTCACGCGATAACTACTGCACAGATATTTTTGAAACTTTTACTTTAAAGACATTGATATCTTATTGAGAAATTAAACGGTACAAATATTTAACTACACTTTTTAATATCCATAAGAAATGAAGCTTGTCAAAATCGGTTCTTTTGGCCTTTTTGCGTTTGAAGACAATTTACAAAGTCCTCTTAATCATCGAAGTAAAAAAAGTCTTCCATTCCGTGTCTTCTAAATTAATTACGGAACCGAAGGATATCAAACTTTTTTGCAGAGTCTTTGAGGTATGGCGACACTTGTTCACTCTCTAGAGAATGAATTTCGCAAGTGCATTACCACGGCCTAGTCTGGGGTCTTTAACGTACCTCACACAATGATGATAACACGAACGCGCTCCGGTACGATGCTCATCCAGATAGAAACGGGGAGGGGTGGGCATGGGGACCCAGGATTCGGGGGTTCTGTAGCGCGGCCTTTCGTTCCACGTGCTTCAAGCTACAGTGCGCTAACGTAATTGGTCACCGGTCTCTCTTAAAATATAAAGGTGCTAGTTGGATATCCATGGCATGAACTCCAGGCCGAAGAACATGAGACAAGGAGTTAAAAAGAAAGGTTAGCTATGCGTTCTCTACATGACCTTTGCTGGTCTCAAATTTATCAGTTGTATTACGCGTATTATGAAACTAAAACAGAAGCTCTTCTGATATATGTTCTTTTTTTCAGTGACACTGGCCTCACTTATATCGCTGGTCACAAGTGACCAGCAGTTCGCTAAGTCGATGGAAAGTCAACGATAACCTGAAAAATTGTATTTGGCTTTCGGTTTTTCTTCTGGAGTCTCCTCGATACTTACCCGCCCAAGCATGATCAGATTCGTCGATGAGACGCTTGGAGGGTTGGACCGATCCTCCAAAGACGATATACTCGGCCAAGTCACAAATACAGCGGCTGCTTTGCCCCGGGCGAAAGGGGGATTCGTTTTGCTATTTCCAAGAAGAGCTGGAGACTGTGTGGAGGTCACGTAAGAGACACAAACAGGCAGAAATGTGAAACTGAATAGTGGGGTGCAGCAAACTAATTCCCGCGTCTTTGCCGTATGCTACGAAAGAGACGCAGCCACGGCCGAGGCGCTGCACGCCCTACTGCACACGGACTACAGAAAAGGCTAATCGCACACTCACCATGACGTTGTGCGACGTCATCTTGTAATCTGATGTTACACTGTGAAGGTGCCGCGTGACGTGATGGTACCGCGTGTATCACAATGTCACGTCATGGGGCCATGCGACGTCGCTTGACCACATGAAGTAACGTCACAATATCACGTGGCGTCACTGCGTCACATACACCATGATGTATGGTGTGAAAATGTTTCCGCTAAATTTAGTGGAGAAATCTTCCGGCTAAATCTAGCGAAGGCATTTTTCTGCTTAGCAAAGTAGCGGAGAAATTTCCCAGCCACGACGATCCTATACACGAAGCGCCCGGAAAGCTTCCAAAATTTGGCAATAGAGAGTTTTAGAATACTGGGCCCCAACAAATTGCGTCGCCCTAAAGGTCCCCCAATAGCTTGGCGCGTCGCATTGCGCAGGCGCCGTCTGCGCATGCGCAATGTGCCGCTTCAAGCTTCTTGAGGGACCTAAAGCATCGGGACCTCCTATTCTAAGACGCTATAATAACAAATGTCTCCGTAAAATGACTTCGCGGACTTTCGTTAAACGTCGCCATGTGAGCGATCGCCGTTTTTTTTACAATGTTATTTATTCAGTTACTGTAGAAATATCAGTCGCTAGGTGCTGTTAACTTAATTAAGGTGGCGATGCGGGCGAGTTGGTTCATGACTTAAGAAAATGGGAACAGCGCGCAAAAAGACGAGGACGACGAGATTAGAGCACAAGACAAGCGCTGACTATCAACTGAAGTTTTATTAAAAACGGCTCAAAAAAGAAATTACCACAAAGCCAACCAACGCCGAAACAACCAATGGCGTGTCGCTCACCATGCATCTATAAAATCGATATATTTTTTTGTGAAGATAAACCGAAGGCTGGCTGACGCAGTGCCCCGAGCCAGCTTTTTCGATAGCCATGCGCCTCCAGCACCTCTCATAACTGACCCTGCTGTCGTGATTCACACTTCCACAGGAAGAAAGTGGCGTCCGCTTATAAGGCCAAATTGTAGGTGTCGCTGATGGCACGGTCAGAAACGAACTGAAAAGGGCAGCTGTGTCGAAGAACTTCGACGTATATAAAAGCAGCGACAGTTCATTCCTCGCAGTATTGATCTTACGGGACGAATCCACGTTCGCGCTACGACTACCCTCTTGCTCAGTGAAAGACTCTTTATGCGATCCGGAACTACCAATAGAGTACCAGGTTAACGAGAAAACGAAGTCCAGACGTTCGGTGCATCTCGTCGACGTAGCTCCCCAGACCTCCATAGGTGTCATTGTCGACCGTGAACGTCTTGCAACCGTCCATGTAATCGATGTCCAAGTGTTGGACGTCCTGCGGATTACACACGCATAAGAATTTAATTACACCCCCCCCCCCCCCCAATCACGAAACACGAACATAACAACACCGCCCCGCATTTCTTCAGCTGTCAGAAAAAAAACAAAAAAACTAAGGCGTCTACTTTTCCGCAAAGCACTTTGAAGAGTCAATGGTGAAATGCTCAGTGCCACGCAATGCAAACTTTTATTTTTTTATTTTTTTTATTTTCGGACATATTTTTAGCTTTGTTGTTGGGCGATTGAGTTCCCTTAGTAGATTGCAGCAATTGTCTCTGCCAAGTCCTTTGCGGGAAAGAAGACGCTCCTGATAGTTTATAAAGTGCTCAATGCTCAATGCTCCATGGGTGTTTCAAAACCTAAGAAAAGAAATGTTCACCATTCATTCAGAAAATGCATAGAGCGTTCATTTAGGTACATATGTTCGTTGCAGGCTTCGTCACTGACGAAGCCGACCTCAAGAAACCACACGCTGGAACATTATATACAGCTGAATTCTTAGGAGAACATGACATTTTCATTTTGAAATCTAAAGTCTATCGCAAAGAAAAAGATTGAAGCGAAGCATTCAATTTCATACCATGGGGATGCGGGCTTCCCGGTTCCTCGAGACGACGAGTTTGAGGTTTTTGAGAGAGTCGTATCCGAACTTGGACAGTTGGAAGCCAAGTGCCCAATAAGGTGGAAAGAAAGGTCGCCCAATTAACTGTAAAATAAAAAAAAAGACAAACCAATTTTATTTTTCAGGTTTTAATGAACACGCACAGGCTATGCTTTTTTTTCTAAACTAGCTTGAAAAGGACCATCCGGCTGCCTCAAAGCGGCAGCCGAAGTTTTGCTAAAAGACGGTGCTCTTTGAAACCTTTTAGCGGAACGTACACTGTTAGCAAGTCCCGTGTATTTGGCGAATATTTGGGGTGAAAAACACGCTATTTACACAAATTACCATAAATTTACACGATGAGTAACGGATAATTCGTTCAGAAATCATGCGAGGTTGTAAAAAACGTGTTTTGGTTTGCTCATACACGCATAACCGTGTAGCCGACCTCGATAACACGCATCGCCCCCGGCGACGACCGCGGCATTGCCGGCTATCGAAGCACCGGAATGCTTGGGGACACACTTAAAAAGGACCGTCGAGACAAATGCCGCGGAAAGAAACATGTCTCGGAGACAGATATGCACCAAAAGCAATTGCGCCATGTCGCAGGACGTTGGCAAACCCGCACTTACCGTTTCTCGCCGCCATCTTCTGGTCGATGGCAATGCGGCTTCCCTCATGTCGCCCATGTTTGTATTTAGTTTAGGGGTCCTGATAACAGTTTCTTAGACACCACAAATAAAGTTATGGGTCTAATTATTCGTTCCAAACAGTTAAAATGGATATAAAAAGCGTGTCCTTGATGTGAACACGTGACATTGCAGTTGGTTTCGTTTTTGCTTCAACCTTCAACTGCAAGCGATCTGGCCACGGCGCAAGCGCAACGCCGATGTACGCTGGAAGCAAGCGCCGGTTGGCTTTCGTTGTTTTTGTTTGACCGGAGAAAATCTGGCAAGTACGCATGGCGCCGCTACTGTTTTGGTTTGACGGGACGCGAGAAGCTTCGCATAGAGCTTCGGAGTTTGCGAGCACATAGTGAAGACGTGACCGGAGAAGTGCCCCTGTGATGTTCCTGGAAGACGGAAAGTAGCATTCGTAATCGTCGTGTGTGCTTTGAAAGCGAAGGGAGTCACAGGGTCCACGAGTTCGCAACCACAAGCCAAGGTTCACGACAGCGCGGCGTTGACTTCGGCGATCTCGTTCTGTTTGGTGCAACCCGGCGATGCTAAAAAGAGCTGAAACATTCGTCGTGTGTGGTGCGGTGCTTTGTATTCCGGGTCTGTTTGAACCACGCTTTTAACACGGAGCGCAAATTGTTTGTTGCGTGGTGGAGGTTCAACGGGTACAGTCCCGTCGTCGTCAGCTGATCCGGTCCAGCTGGTCCGGGAGGACGCAGCGAGCGTTTTTAAAAGTAAATCTTCCTTTGTTCCGTTTCAAACTGTGGAAGTATCCCGACAGATACCGTGAGTAAGAAGCAGCGGGCGTTTTCAACAAAATTACGTTGTTTTAATTGAATAATGGACTCCGGATTGTTGTCTTAAATCTGCCGTTTTTTTACGCTTCCTGTTGGACAGCGTTAGCATAGCGACGCACACCGCTCGAGTAGATGATTCGGTCCTGCAACGAGTTTGTTGCGCCAATCATGCGGCGTGAATAAATTAGGGCAATGTTTCCTACCTGCCCACAGATGCATGTACTCAGACCATTTTTTATGTTGTGAACGTAGTGCTCTTTCTTTATTTTGTAAGACGCGTTGGTGCATTTATTATGGTTCAATCACTTGAGAGTTGAGAAATTGGAGAGCGAGCAAGCTTTCTCAACTTTGTCTCTCTCTCTGGCACTGCCCTGTTTCAGTTTCAGTAGGCATATCTACTAGCAGGTACAAACTGCTCTAAAGCAGGTAAAAAACGGGAAGCTTAGGACGGTGCGGACTCCGTATTTCGCGCTTTTCGCAAGGTGACAGGGTAAATGCTTTTGTGAGATATGCGGAATGTGCAAGCGATTTTGTTATGCCCGTCGTTTGCGTCTCTCCAGCAAAACGAATATGGTGATCTACTACAAAGGCGCAATCACAAGCCAAGATTTAAGATAGCAGTCGTTTGCTTCGGTGATCCGTGTAGCTGTATTTTACCCTGCTCTCTGCAACACCGTGTCATGACGAAGAGCTGGAATGGTCACGGTTTGTGCTGGCCTCCCGGTTGACAGAAACCCGCGTCGCCCGCATCGGCACCGAGTGCGCTTGGGTTGTTGATGCTCAAGCCTTTCATCCGCGGCTTGTCGCCAGCTCATCCTGCTGCTCAACGGTGAGGAAGCGGCGAAAGTAACCTCGGAAGTGAATGTAAATCCTCGTTCATTCAGTTATCCGGTGTCAAAGTGTGGAAGATGTCGAACGTGTACTGAGGGCGGGAACTACGAGCGTTTTGCCTTGCTTTTATAACCGAAACCAGACCAACGAGATAACTGCCTTGCGTACTCTAAAATGACGGAAGCAATAAGTTTCAACAGGTCGAGTACGTCACCGGGGATGTAGGCGAGACGGTGCACACTGTTTAAACGCTTGCAGTATCCACGAGTGGTACCAGGAAAGCGACGTCAACAGAGAAGGAGCTCGCGATTCAGCATAATGCACTGCTACGGGCCCGTGTATCTTCAAAGTTCGGGGTGGTGGCAGTATAAAAAAAAGACGCATCAGCGCCCCACACCAGTGTTCACGAATAACACCGGTCACAAACTCCCAAGCCCCACCGCTCTTCTCGACACCGACACGACATACGACAACAAACTGCATCAAAACGCCCCAAAAGTGAAGGTGTCTGCTCCCGTACTGCAACCAGAGGAGTGCAACTTCCTTTACCGCCCATGGAACGCAAATTGGAAAACCCTGGGAGGCCGCAGCGCCATTTGAATCCCCTGGTATCTGGTGGCTGTACTAAAATCAACATGGCGGCTCAGCGAAACCAAAACCGAAACTGCACGGCAGCGCCATTGTGTTTGGATGGATGGGCGGTAGCTTGCGCCACCTAGAGTTAAAAAAATATATATTGTAGCTGTTTTTTTTTTTGTTTTGTTTTGCTCGGTTTGCGCGTTGCTTTGCTAGGCTTCTGCTGCTTTGCGGCTGGTTTTCGCATTTCAATGCTGGTTAATGTGCGTTGAAACGCACACAAGCCAGCACTGAAAAGCAAGACCAGCAGCAAAGCAGCAGAAACCTAGCAAAGCAACGAAAGTGACACATACACAAAAAAATATGCAATGCTTGTCCTTTTGCGTTCATTTTTATTCAACAGACAGTAGAAAATACAGACGAAATTTTTCACTGTTTTGCACACGAGAAACAAAGAAATGAACAACAAAACAGGATAAAACGTTAAGGTTACGTGCGACGAAGGTGATGATATGCGTTCTTGCAAATTTGATTATATAAGTAAGCGTATAAGTAGGGTTCGGAGTTTTCGGTTTAAACCGATAAAAACCGATAAAAGTACGCCGAATCCATTTTCGGAAATTCGGTTTTAACCGAAAAAGGTAAGTTTGTAGGTTCGGCGTTTTCGGTTTAAATCGATAAAAACCGATAACAGTAAGTCTAATTCGTCAGGTTTTTAGGGCCGCGTCGAGGTGGGTGGGGGAGGGAGAGAGAAAGAGAGAGGGTTTTGCAAGGTTCGACATTGTGGGACGTCTTCGTGATTGCCCTCTTCCAAGGTTCAACATGCAACAAAAGATATCTTGGATTGGCCTTCGCAGGACATCTGTGTCCTTTCTGTGGTCAGGCTTTGTGTGTAAAGTTCCCGGTCCTAAAAAAAAAGTTCGGATGTGGACTAGTGTAAGGTTTTTGCGCTTCATGCACTTCAGAGGACATCGAGGAAAGCCTTTAATGCCTTTCTTAACACCCTCTCTCAAACTTCCCTGTAATTAAGAACATAAATACAATATATATATATTTTTTTTTGCCATTCCGTTGGTTTTTGTACGGTCATCACCTCAGATGGTCACGTCGTCAGAATGGGAAGGAAGAAGAAGCGCGCTGAAGATTACGCCCGCGAATTCTGCGATTCTGAGGTGTGTCCCGATGGAAGTTGTAGCGAAGACCATGTATGTATATGTGCCGTGATTCTTTGAGCGATCACAAATATCACAGCTACAAAGATCATCTGATCCGGTGTCCGATGGTGTTTCTTTCATATTCACCGAAAAAAAAAATGGTAAACTTTTTGGGGAATAAATATACACCGAAAAAAACCGAAAACTAAATTTTAAAATAAAGACCGAAAAAAGTACGCCGAATTTTGAAAAAATAAAAACCGAAAACGCAGAACCCTACATATAAGTAAAGACCGACGACGGTGTCTTAATTGCAACTAAAGGAAACTAAGCAATGAGTACCAAGAAAAACAGCTCAGCTCTTTGGTATTGAGTCTTCATCGAGAACCTGCCCATTCGTTTTTAATATTATCACTTAAATTTAGGAGTGAGTCACTGCTAAACGAAACGGGAAACCAGAGCGGATCGCTCTATCGCTCATCCTCAGTTAATCGAAAAATATTTAGGCTCATATTTTCACTCCTCGCGAACAGACGCGTGAATCGCTGACAACAGTGCCAAATAAACAGCTCACAGCAAAAAGTTTGCCATCTTTTAAAGTGAGCATATGTGCTCGATCTTGATATGAAAAAGTCTACACAGAAGTCTCCAGTGATTTGACAATGACATATTTCTCGCGGCGAGTGAAGAGCAATCCTGAACAATGATAAGATTTGGTTTTGTGATTGGAAACCATTGTAGCTATTGCCAAAATCAAACAATTAATACTCAGTACCACTGCGACAGTTAAGTTTTGTTGCAAACATCTAATCAGAAACTTAAGCAAGAGAAGACCAAAAGAGCGTTCCGCACGTCCATTCGAACTCGAAACCATTGATATCCCGGCTTTCGGCAGTCATTGTTTCCCCACTTGGCACATCAGGTGGTGTGTTGATGACGAAAATCCATGCTTGACCACATTACACCAACAACAAGTTCCCACGAAAAAGAAAAGAAAGCTGCGCGCGCACGAACGCGGGACGAATCTCGCGCCGCGACGCACTTCCAGAAGCGAAACAACACGCCGG